AAAAAAAAATGCTTTTTCCGTTTTTTACTCCACTTATATATACTTTTGCAAAATTACAGATTACTATTATAGAGATATCAATTAGTTTCTTTTTAAAGAAACAGTTTAGGCCAATCAAAGAAATTGAGCTTATCACTTTGATAATACTTTTTTCATTACAATTTAATTTTTCGACGAAATGGGAACGGTCGTTTTTTTCATTTTCGACGAAACGGGAAAATCAATTAAGTTTTCGACGAAACGGGAATCTACCATTCGTAGCACATAGTTCTGACCCAAAGAAGAATAATCTATCTTTCAGAATTCTTCGATCAACAAACGAACAAACAAACACATATGTTCAATCGATAATGATTCATTTCTTTCATGAATTATCTTTTCTTTCTTCTCTATCTATATGTATCCATACGTCTGTCGTCTATATTTGTTTTTCTTTCAAAACTAAAATGTTATCGTTATCAAGTAGTCAGAGTGAGCCATCAGCACTTTTATCCAATGCTCGATTAACTATTGCAACATTAATTCAACGACCAAGTACAATAACAACATCAAATGCTTTTGATGAATTTTCTATATTAGATCATTTAATTGATGTTAGTAATGATGTTGATCGTTTTGAAGGTGGTGAAAGTCGTAAATTTTTAAATATAGCACAATTAATAACAGCATCAACATGTATTTATTCTCGTCGTGTTGATGCACTTTATAAATTAATAAATACATTTCAATCATCATCGTCAGATAATAAACAAGATGAAAGTATTTCGGATGAAAATCAATCATCAGAATCAATTATAATTCATAAGCAAGAAGAAAATCAAACAAAAAAAATTACTCATGAAAAAAAGAAAAAAACTAAAGAAAATCATCGTTCATTTATATGTAATGATTTAACTAAAATAAATTTAAATTCATCAAAAAATTTTTTTCATGATCGAACATCTTTATTTGATCTCAAAATTTTTCAAAAAAATGTACCAATAGGAAATAAACAATTTTGGATAAATGATACTCGACCTATGATATTTGATCTTCTTTTTCATAATCAATCAATTGAACTAAATGAAAATTATCAACAACAAGAATCTGAACAATTAATTGATGTACTTAATAAATTATCACCAGTTAATAATAGATCAACATTGAATGATGATGATATTCCATTACCTATATCTGCATATGATGATCAAGAATCATCATGGAATAATGAAAATCTAATTGAACATGAAAAATTTATTGAAAAGAAAAAAACAAATAAAAATCGAAGAAAAAAATTAAAAAATGATATTGATCTTAATATATTTCGTAATGGTCTTACAGATGAACAACAAGAACATTTTCGTTTTCATAAAATGAAACCATTATCAAATAAAATTAAAATTGAACAAACACAATTTTTTATTAAAAAATTAAATCGAAATCATTTCGATAAATTAATTAAAGGTTAGTAGAACAAAAAGTAATTTTCATTATTTATATTACATGACAATAAATGTCTATGTAAACATCAGATAAATAGATATTATTAGACATACAACAGTGACGGTGATCACCGGTCTAAGTTAGAGTGCTGCACTAGCCTAACTGACTTCCATTCGAAGCTGTTGGGAAAAGATTTTGTTTGATAAAGCAAAACCAGACATCTTCGATCTCTTTATGACAATCGGCTGAAAAAATTAGGAGTATTTTATCTAAAAATTTTCGACGCATCCATTCAATGTTTATAATCTTCATAAAATAATCTATTATAACCAACGATTCATTCTTGAATAGAGAGAATATAACTGTAGTATATATGTAAAAACTATGCCAGATGTTATGAAAGTAGTTAATACAAATCTTTCTAATCAATACTAAAGTTATGTTCAAATTAACAGATTTCCAATAACTTTTAATAGGTTCATTTGATTTTTCCTTTAAATACCTGTAAATGTTTATCTTTGTTAGATTGTCCATCATCGATTGTATCAATTTTTATTTATCCAACAATTAGTATGCATCATTTAACAATTCGAGAACGATATTCAGTAAAAATCGATCGACCATTTTCTCGAATTATTCGTTCACCTCCTATACCTATATCTGATGTACTTAATGAAAATGCATTAATTTCATCATCATCATCACCAACCTCACCTTCATTTATTCATGAGTTCAATGAAGATATACAAGAAGATGCTGATATTCGTCTTCAAACTGATATGGAACAAATACTTGATGCAGCTACTTATCATTCAAACGAAGAACAAGAACATAATAAAATATTTCTTGAACTTCGTTCATTAATAATGTCATATATGAATAAACATGATTCAGTTAAAACGATAAATCTTGATGATCTACTCGAAACACTTGATGATAATTATTCATTACCACTTGTTTTTAGTCAATTATTACATTTATGTGCTGCAACACAACATTATTATCTTCATTCAACATCTAATGACAATTTGCTTATAGAAAAAACGATATAGACAATTATTTTATATAGATTTTTTAACTAGTTTTTATTTATTTATTTATTTATTGTAAACAGAAAAAAAGGATAGATTTTTTTAGAAGATAAATTTTATTTGTTGTTTTCTTGAAATTTCAATAGCATACAATTCAAATGTTATTTCATTAACAAGATCCCATAGAGAAACCTTGTTATAGAACGAATTAGATAGAAAATTCTATTGGCTATTGAAACCACTATCTGGATTTCAGCTGGGTACTTCACATTAAAGGAAAAAAGGGTTTAACATCAATCTTTATTTAGAATTAAAAATATCTTGCATTGCTCAAGTTTTTTTTTTTTTGATAACATTTTGTAGAAATTAAATGAATTTCTACATAGTCTATAATACTTTTCGATTGTAACATAAGTGATTATCTTACGAAACCGTTTCTCAATGGAATAGGTTTAATTTATCAATTAAAAGTCGATCAATTGTATTGACTTCATATTAAATGTCAATGAGCAAAAAAAAAAGTTAGCATCGTTTAGAAAAGTAGGAAAAAGCTTGGTCTTAGAGTTAAAAATTCCTAATTGATTTATATATAATACATCATTTTTGTGAAACATGAACTAAAAGGAGTGTTGAAGTATAGCGGTAAAAATTTGGATGTTTCTCACAAATCATGACAGATACTAGTCAGAGACAATCATAGAACTTGATAAATCTAGATATACGATCACAAATTGTGTATCAATAAGCATGTGGATCAGTGAAATAAGACCAACATCTACACCCATCAATAAAATTATCTGTCAACTAGATTTATTTTATATTTTAAAACTTATTAAACTGAGCTAAAACTCAATCGAACAAATAATAATAATAATAATAATAATAATAAAAACCATCTTTGTTTGTTTTTCTTTTATTCGTCCACCATACTTCCAATTGAACTAGCAAAACTTGGTCTACCTTGAGATGTACCTCCATTTCCACCAGTAGAATTATGTGTACGTGTTTTTTTATTTTTTATAACCATATATCCAGCAATGGCTCCAACAATAAGAACTACTCCTACAATAGCAACTATAATTATGTTTGTCGTTGTTAGAAAGCCTGACTCTTCTTTAAGCTAGAAATAGAAATAGAACTTATTTCTTTACAGAAAAAAAAAACATTACGATTTATAACATACAGCTGCTGCTTCTAAACCAAGATGCTGTAGACTAAAATCAGGATCTTCTGGTGGAGGTGGTGGTGGTTCTTCGAAATCGACTGTATCACTCTCTGTTCCAGATGAAGCACCATTATCTGTTCCAGATGAAATGCCACCATTATTAGTACCTGCATAAAAAGAAGCCATAAACGAATTTTAATCAAGATTCTCAAATCTGCTTGAAATTTTTTTTGGGTTTTTTTTTACGTACCATGATGCGTAGAAGTAGCTAATTTCATACTAGCAGTATTCATTTCGCATATAAATGGATATTTTTGACTACAGTAATCATCCGATAAGCAGAGAAAACTTGTATCTTTGGAACCAAAATTGTATGTAACACATTCTTCACGTTCAGTGCCATTCGGACCTTAAAAAAAAAGTTAAGAG